AGTATGGATTTTTGAGTTAACTCGTATATCTAAAAATGTTGTGAACCACTGAACATGTTTCATGAAAGCTTTTAAAAAAGAATCATTGGATGGAGTTCTTCAGTTGAATAAGTTTTGGAGCTAACCCAAGTCACGATGTCTGCTACAGTCAACTGACCTTACAAAAAATAAAACACATGGCTGCATTTAAATACAGTTTAAAGATATTGTGCATAAAAAATGCTGTGTTTATGACTAAGAGTCAACCCCAACACATTCTCCAAGTGCTTCTTATTGTGCAAGAACTCAACGCTCAAAAACTAGCATTATTTGTTGGAGTCAACTTTGTAAGAAACAACAACAATAATAATCATCATCATCATCATCAAATGCATTTTAACACAATTTTCAGAAAGTTATTAGATACACGATTAGAATTAGTATAATGTTGGAGCCAGTCAAATTCAAGATGGCGCGCACAGAAAATGAAAATAAACCAACACAAAAATGTCTATAACTCAAACTATTTTACAGACATCAAGCAAAAATCCGATGTGGTAATAGCTGAAATCTTTAAAAACACATATCGAGATGTTTTGCCATTTTGCACGAGACTGTGCATGACACCATTGTTAAGGTTTACCAAAACTGCTCTGTCTAAAACAATGAACTCTGGTATGAAACAGAGCAGGCGACAATGATTCCCTGCAGGAATGATAGGCATTTGGTGTTCAAACAGAATTTTATGGTATGGTAGAAGTTTATTCATTTTAAAAAACAAAACAATTCCATAAACTATATAAAAAAATACAAGATATTTAAAATGAAAGGCAGCAGAAAGAAGAAAACATCTTATTATATCTGCCCCTAAACAGAATTTGATCTCACACTAGTATAATGTAGTTTGCTTTTGCACAGATGTTTCCCCTTCTCTGTCACAAATCTACATTGCTCTGAGGGGAAAAAGCTTATATGATAAAGTATTAAACCATTAGAGCAAATCAAATAATTCCAAGGTCCAATTTAAAACTAAAGTAAATATGATAATTAAAGACCATATAAAGATTGTTAAACTTCTATTACCTTGCAAGGTGTTTTTCTCCATAGGTCATGTATGGCTTCCTTTGATAGAAGTTTTATTTTATTTTTATTATTATTCATGCTTGTTCTGTTTTTCTTCTTCTTTTTCTTGTGCGTATATGATTATCAATTTAGAAAGATAAATATGATAATGATAAAAATATAGTGACGAGTTTAATCAACAGCTTAAGAGAAAGAAGAAACTCCTGTGGTTTGAAATTGCACTGGTTTAATTATCATGGTGTTAGAAATGTCTGAACAGTCACAGTTTTGAATAGAATTAATTAAATCTACTTTTGTCTTGCTTAGAGTTCAGTGTTGCTTAGTAGACCAACTTCTACGACCAGACATATACTAAGAAACATACAGACCTAGCATTCCTTAAAGAAACGTATATTATCCACCACATATCATGTTTGGGTTTCACAGTAAGGCCAGTGTCACACCAGCAGCAGCTTAGAGCAATGTGCACATGCAGGCACATGCAGCCCTAATCAGATTGATTTTGCCCCATATCTGATTTCTTCATCACAGTCTGACAAATCCATTTTTTCAAATCCAACCTATATATATTTTTTTATTTTTTATTTTTTCATATGTGGTACTAAAACTGACACATCCAAAGTTTTTCTATGTGACTGTAGTCTGACGGGTCGTGGCACATTTCATCCTGTTCTTACACCAGTGAGTTACAAGTAAGCAGATTTATTTGAGTATCAATAATAATGTTACCAAAGTTTAAATGTTGGAACTCTGTATATTTTCAGCAACAGATCAAAACTCCAGTTGCTTTGACTTTATATATTTTTTTATATTTTTATTGTCTGTGTCCTGGATGACTGGGAATCTAGATCAACATATGATGCTAATGTTAGTGTTGGGCAGTATCAATACCAACGTAATGGGACTGATATTTCAGTTCATTGTTACCTTCAGTGCATCGCTCCTGCTCCAAAAATAACACTGCTGCACCGGAGGCACCATCAAGAGGCCACGATAAATGTAACCGCTGGATCAAATAATCATGTCAGATAATCAAAGTTCATGCTCAATAATCCAAGTAAAATAAAAAAAAAAATCCAACAAAGGTCCTCTGGACTGTTTCTTTGTGTTGAAACATTTTGTCTTTCATCCAAACGACTTCATCAGTCCGAGGAGCCAACGAGTAAATGGGGGAGAGAAAAATATCTTATCACCATCAAACTGGTTGGTCCACTATGCAAGTGTGCTACTTATGGGACTGAGTTTGTTGTGGCCCCTTGGACTGATGAAGTCTTTTGGATGAAACACAAAATGTTTCAACACAAACAAACCATCCAGAGGACCTGAGTTAACTTTGCTGCATGTCAGATAATAATTGCTGGCTGTCCAGTGTGATATCTGAATGAACCAAGGTGGGGTTGTTGGTTGAAGGTAACCCACCCTGATACTCTGTTTTGCTGCAAAGGGAGGTCATAACCAAAACTGTCATCACGTGAAACCACAAGCGGACTTTGTGGCTCAGTAATGTGATTTAGTGAAGACATATGGTCTGCGCGGCCATCAGGTTGTGAGAATAAAGGTTTGAAACATGTATTACTGAGAGCAGATCAATGATGTTCTGCAGCAACTTTGCTTTTAATAAAGAATAAAATAAAACCAGTTACCCACAAAGAGAACTGTTAAATGTAGTTATTTGTCATGTTTTGTTACCGATACACGGAAGACCTCAGTCATCCATTCAACGGGTTGTGTTTTGTAGTAATGCAGTTGAGCTCTACTTCTTGCCTCTTTTGGTTCTATGATGCTAGTTTCATTTCTGAACGCTGACATCTGTGCAGAAAGTTACTAGCTGCATTAGTGATTTGTGAACAGCTAGAGTTAGCATAAAGATGGACTGGTCTTTGCAGCCATTTTGCACAAAGAGCCTTAATATTATGTAATAATTAGAAGGACAGAAGATACAGCTGTTTTGGTCAAACACTGTAAATGACATCACATAGGTGCAATCTCATGTAAGGTCTCGTCAGATGTGTTTGTTCTTGAATTATGTGTTGTGGAAGATGCTCAGCTTCTCCCAGAACAAATCAGCACAATATATTTAAATCTGGAGTTAGAGTCGTTGTTGGTTGGCAAATTTCAGTGACTTGACTTAGGGTGATTCCATAAGTTAATCAATAGTTAATGTGGATCTAGAATTAGTGTGGCTGAGCGGTTAGAGCAGCCGTCCTCCAATGCAAGAGTTGGGGGTTCCAATCCACCAGCAGCCACATGCCCAAGTGTCCCTGAGCAAGACACTGAACCCCTCAGAGCCTCTGATGTGTGTCCCATCGGTGTATGAATGTGATAAAGCTCTGATTAGTCTCTTTAGAATGATTTGTTCATTTAGCTTGTAGAGATCTAGTAGAGAGCTCTATGAATGGGTAAATGAGGCACAGATTGTTGTAAAGTACTTTGAGTATCTTGATAAGATATAAAGGTGCTATATAAGGACAGTCCATTTACCGTTTACCATTGTGATTACTTTCTGAGTGTTTCTGTAAAATATGTCCAGGGGTTCATGCAGTTAAGTCCAAAACAACCAGGGTTAACGCCAACAGTTAATATCAAAGTTTAGCACAAAGCAGTTTCACAATCTGTGTGCGTCAATGTTGTCAATGATGTTAATCTACTAACACACACATGTAGCTAAAAACTGGTTCAGATGGCCATCTTGTTGTGGATGTACATGCACTTAATTACATTAGGAGTTCCATTTAAATTCATGTAAAAATAATACAGCCAGTGTGTCATGAGATGTTTTGTTTATTTATTTATGTATCATGTATTTGTATAGGGAGAAAGGTTTAGCATTAGCAAGCATGTTGCAAACTAAGCATTTATAGCTTAAACTAATTTGCCATGCCTGCATGCCTCTTCACATTCAAACAATCATCACATCCAGGGTTAGATGCCTATTTGGGTGCAAAAAATCATGTAAATACTCTCCAACTTGCCAAAAATGATCCCATCATTTAATGACAGTAGCAGCAGAAGCTTTCCCATTCACTACATGACTTAAAGCTTTGGTTCACTGGCCCAGTCCTCAAGAGAGAATTCAAATTCACAAACAATGAATAGTAAACATCCACGCTCACTGATATCCTTCTTTAATAGACTTCAGATAATGGGCTTCAGTTGCATGAAAATGTCTTCAAATATGATGCCAAACCCTGTGCGTATAGCTCAGGTGAACTTGACAGTGTCTTGTTTCGATGAGCGTCCCCGTTCTTTAATTCTTCCTGAGAACAGTCACCGTTCAGGCAATTCATTTCTGATTCCCATCCAAAGTTGTGCTGTTGGCATCAGTCTTCCAAATGCAGGAAAAATAATTACTTCCCTCACAGCAAGTGGGCATTAATATTAATGAGCTACCGAGGTGCACAGTGCGTCCCTAACTTCTCGTCATTTAAAATGTGAACCCATGAGATGGTGCTCTAAATATATCTGCTGACAGATCCAGAACAGTAATGAGCTTGAATCAAACGTCTGTCACAGCATGCCGCCATTACTCCTCTGCGACTCCACGAGGCTCTTCAAGGTGATGGATAGGTCAGAGGTGACTAATTTTAGCAGTTGTTGCTGTAGGTCAGATTCTCATCATTTTTCAAAGGCACAATCTGGAAGAAAAATCTAAGATTAATTTGACCTTGAGTTATGGGTTATGTCACACTTGACAGTGTGGGTGTCGAGCCACAGAGACTCAGTGACTGAGACAAATCCCTCAGTGGACTTGCATCATTATTTCAGCATTTATAAGGGCTCTTATAGACTGTAGTGAAAATGTGAAAGGACATTTGAATTAAATTAGTCAGTAAATCATAACTGAAATATGTTTCAATAATTTATAAAAGGGGAAAAAATGTAAAGAAAATAAATTGCACATTAGCTCTAAATGTGTTTGTATATCTCTTATTTTTCAGCTGCACTCTAACATGGATAAAGGTGATGGCACTGTGAAGTACGTCCTGACCGGAGACGGGGCAGGCACCCTGTTCCTAATTGACGAGAAGTCTGGAGACATTCATGCCACGAAGAGGCTGGATCGAGAGGAGAAAGCCATGTACATGCTCCATGCCAAGGTTCTGGACAGGAACACCAATGCAGAACTGGAGCCCGACACTGAATTCAACATCAAAATTCATGACATCAACGACAACGCACCAAAATTTGCAAGGGAAATCTACTTTGCCAGTGTCCCAGAGATGTCTGAAGTTGGTAAGTTGAGCCTATGTTTAGATTGTTCTGGATTCCCTAAATTGGGGAAAAACGCATTTAGCCTCCAAGAAATAATTTGAGGAAATTATACTTTTAGTCTATGTAGAAACAGAAGCATGTGAACTGTTTATGTAGGTGAAACATTGCATGTATGTCTTTGAAAAATATGTTCCCCTCCCCATTAGCCTAAGAGTGGTTTACTCCATTGCACACCTGCAAAAGACAATGCAGATGTGTGGGAGGCTGAGGACTGAAGCAGTGGAGATGCCATGAATAAATAGCTTCCAGTAAGCACGTGTGACATGTGACAGCTTCTCATTAGTATAGTGGTAACTCTGCCTGTCACAGGGTCAAACTCAACTACCAGTTATTATTATGTGTATTATTATTAATCTATACAATCTGCTTTTAATAAATCTCCCTGTTTATATCCCCACCCCACCTGCTCCCAATAATTTCTGCCTTTGAGTCTATTTTACATCATAAAGACTTAAAACAGAAGTTCATGTTTGAAGTGATGTTCTGTCACATAGTTCACATTTTTTTATCAAATAAGTTGCAAAATCAGTCTTTAAGAAACACAACAAAGATAATGAAACAAGAGGAAAACAGCCCAGCTAATCATGCTACTTGCTAGCCAGGCTGCTTTCCATTTTAAAGTGATTTTAGGAAAAAAAGCAACTCTTGCTCAGTTTGCGTTGTTGCAGACTTATTTCTTGGCATTTATATGTTCCTAAGCTGATGGCTGTTGTAACTGAAAATGCACACTTTCATTAGTATTTTGAATGAAGTGAAGCAGATATTTTAGTAGTAGTGTTGTAGTATATATTACTGTATAGAGGAGAGTCCCTCCTACTAACTTTTGTTCTGAATAGTTCATGTTCATTTTTTGTTTGGTCTGTGTAAGCAGCTAAAAGTTTGGCTCAAATTTGTTGCATATGCCAAACTTCTTAGCGGTCATAGACACAATAAAATGTTGTATTAAAGATTATCATATAATATTAGAACCGGCCAAGTTCCATAGCAATAGGATGTGTGGTAAAGTGATGTTACGAGGGCTGACAGTGGATGTGAGCTCCACTTGGGCTGCTCTGATGATCTCAGTTCAGTTGATGCTCAGCATCTCAATATAAATTATTTGTTTTACTCATTCTGTTACATCACTGCATTGCATAGCTGCTGTGGCATCTGCAGATACAAAATACAAACATATGTATGTAGTCATGTATTTACTGAATATTAACAATTGTGTTTGCCTGGCAAAAAAAAAAAAAAAAAAAAAAAAATCTAAAATTGCAGTATTTTATCACCACATTATTTGCATTAATGCAGATGTTTGGTTGAGAAAACAGAAAACAACAACAGCCAAAAGATTGTGCTAAAATATAAAGGTTAAGTTTTAGTTATTATGATATACTACACCAATATAACATGTTTGGGGTGTCGTTTTACTTGCACTTAAACAACACTATAAACTGTATCCAGTCTAGGCAGTTGTTAGAAAAAGTTTTTTTTTCTTTCTTCGTTAATTCATTTTATATAAAACTAAATTCACAACAGATTAGATGTAAGTACATAAAAGACCAACCCATTTATCTGAGCTTCATTGGGTCAGTATATTTATACCAGTGATCATCATGTCTTCACCACACACATGATATATACACACAACAAACACACACACAAACTAATAAATTAGATGTAAAAAATTACAAAAGGTAAATAACCAAACTGTCTTAATGTGATGCTTGTATTCATGGGTTCTTTTTTGTTGTTTTAGCTTGAATGTTATTTGTTTGGTCGGGCTCATTGGGCATTCACAATAAGTAATGTCATTTGCCATTTTTTAATGGGGAGCAGAAATATTGAACGTTTAGATTGTCACAGTCTTTCCAATTAAGTATTTGCTCCATTGCTCTCCATTCCTTTCAAGTAATATAAATAAGGTTGTCGGCATGAATACAAACAAAGCTTATGGAAGTATTGCATGTGAGCTGAAATCAATCCTCAATTATTAAACCTCAAATTAATACACAGGAGCAATCAAGGGTATATCAAAACCCAATTGCCTATATGACAAATAAAACTCAATTTGGAATTCATAACTGGTGTCTTTAGACCTCCCAGTTGCAAGGGCTCTGGAAAGAGGTGTGTCAGGGTCACAGCTATTCATCTGTGCACTAATAAACTGCCTCACGTGTTCAAACCCAACGCACGACTTTATCAAGCCAGCCAGCCATGAAAAATCAGCAGCCGCCCCCACCTTTATGCTATCAGTGCTGGGACTAAGTGAGACAGATGTTCAAGGGGTCATTAGTATGCACAGAGACAGTCAGACCCAAACAGGACACGGCAGAGGTCTCCTGAATGCCAAGGACGGTATTTGCTATGTGGGTTATTGAAACGCTCGGGTGGATAGAGGGGCAAAACATGGATGTGATTTTAAGGACAAGATTTCTGAGAGGATGTGAGCTCGTTCTGAGCTTGTGTGTTTATTATTGAGAATATTTTAGTTGAAGAATGAACGATTGTCAAGGAACTTGAACGCTCCTCTCTTTGTGTTGGCGCTGCTGTGTAGCATGATGCTGCTTATTGAAGGCATCCAACATTTTCAAAGGAAAAACAAAAAAAAATCAGATTCACAACTTTTAAAAGAAAAAAAACATGAATTAATATATTGTGTACAAATGTGTTACCTTACATCTTTGGGAGTATAGAAAACGTTTAAACCTACCGTGCAGTACTGGTTTATTACAGACTAATGACACATTAGAACAACTCAAAGAAATAATAAATATGTATATAATACCCTTTAATCATTACCTGCCACTGAAAGGCAAAAGACATGAGAATAGAGTTTTTGTCTTTGTGTTTCTGTCTGTTAGCAACATATTTAATAAACCACTAGGCTTGTTTTAATAAAACTGAAAAGTGCATCTATGACCTGATATAGCTACTACACCCGAATGATGTTAGAAAACACACAACGACTACATTTCAGACATTTTATATTATTATTTATTTAGTTGCCTTTTTTTATTTGGTGTGCTAGTAGCTGAGACTGGTGTCCAAAACGTAATACAAGCACTACTTGTTTAAGATCATTGCCTAAAATGTTGACATGAGCTTAAGGAGACAACCAAGTTTGTTAGCAAAATTTCTTATGCAACATTTCTTACAAAAATATCTTAATAGTAGTTTTATAAAGTTATCAGTGAATGTATATCTATAACAGCGCAAAACTATTTCATTTTATTTCATTTGCTATTTTATTTAAAATTACCAGTCCAATTGTGGAACATTAGTGAACACACTATTGAATATAACCAGGTGAATTAAGTAGATATGAAGATAAAATGTAATGTATGAGTAGCTGAAAGTATTCCTCCAACATCCTCTGAGCAAGCATCCTGTAATATTGTGTTAAACTGCACATGTTCTTTCAAGCTCGGATCAAAACGGCTGCAGGTCCGTCATTTGTCAACACAAGAACATGTTAGTTTAGCACTCTGCTACTAAAGGTGGTATTTTTTAAAAGAGTGCTAGGTCTTCAACTGTTCATTGTTTTGTTTTTTAGCTGGAATCATATTACTTGTACTTTGCGCAACATCGTTAGATGTTCCACTCTAAATTTAATGAACAAGCTTTCTTTATATATAAAGTTAACCAAAAGCAGGAGAATATGTTCTCTGAAATCATTCAGCAAAAACAGCAAGGGCAGAAAAAAAAAGTATATTGACACATATCAATCATAGTAATCTGATCCAATGACAGTATTATTTAGCCATGTTTAATTTTGATCAGACACAGAAGGAAAAAAAGAGTTACTATGACCAGGGGCGATTCTGCAGTAGCTCTATTGGTTGGACGTATGTTGTAGGGTTTAATATGTATATATATAGAGGCAGGGCAGCCGGCTTGGTACCTGAAAGTCCCAGGTTCGATCCCCAGTCACTGCAC